CCAAGAAATAAATTGCCATTGTTTTGAGACTGGCAAAGCTTCTTAGAAGGCTAATTGTTTAAGAGTCATACTGTTTCACACTCCTCCTATTGGGTTTATATGATCAGTAGGAAGTCCAGGGAACCTTAGAATCCTAGAGGTGTGAGGTCATCTACTTCACTCCCTTGCCAATGTAGGAAATCTACTACTGTAGCATCCCTGATTGGTGGCCTTCCAGCACCTGCTTAAAAACTTCTAAGGAAGGAGAGGTAGTCCTTCAGAGGCAACCTGTTCCATTTTCAAAACAGCTTGCATCATCAGAGAGCTCCACCTAATGTTTAGTCAAAATCAGGTGCGGGGGAACTTAGGCCTTCCAAATGTTTCTGAACTACTATTCCCATGATCCTTGGCCATTGACCATGCTTGATGGGGATGATGGGAGTTGGAATCTGCAACATCTGGAGAGCCAGAGTTCCCCCACAGCTGGTCTTTGCATGAAACTCCAGTATTATGTCTGTATCAGCATAACCAGCTGCTGCAATGAATGGGTGCAGCTCTCAGTCTTGGTTTCTCTCAGTTTCTCATTTTCCTCCCTTAAGGTCAATGCTCCATATTTCCACATGAGCTTGTGATATATTTTTTAAAAGTTCTCATAAAAATTGACCAGCTTTTTAGTGTGAATTTCTCCAAATATGCACATTTTTATATGCACTTTTGCCTAATATACACATTTTTGCAAGCAATTTCCCCATGTGCAGTGCATTTCCGAATGTTGTTTTCAGTGTGATATGCATTTATAGGTATATGCACTTTTGTTCACCTGGATAACTTTGGTTCGTACCTTGTGAAGTAGGTAAGTTTGCCTTTAAATGCCAATCAAATTGAATTTATCCCCTATCCCTGCCATTAACCACAGACATAACGTTGCACCTACCATTAACACTATTTAGAGAAGGGCCAGGAAAGGAGCGTGTGAATCCAAACGGGGAGGAGGCGAAACAGGAGGGTTGCATGAGCTTGCCGTGAGAAATCTGCATGAGTTAAACTCTACAGACCACAACACTAAGCTCTCGCAAAACTTATTTGTTCATTTGCTTAAGATATTCATATTCTGCCTCTCTGCTTGAAGCAGCTCCTGACAGGCGCCGTGAATGCCAGCATGATCAAGCAAATAAGTGGAATGCAAAGTAAAGATAAAAGCAAGTCATAAAATCATTCGGTTCTGCTGCAGCCTCATTTTAGTTCTCCCAACGCTGCAGTCCTGTCGCCATTTACTGTATCTGGGAGTAAACTCCACTGAATGGTAAATGGCACTTACTTCTGAATATTGGTGCATAGGTTTGCACTCTCTGAGCCTGAATTAGCAAATGGTCTTCAGCTTTTCCCTCAAGAAGAAATAAATGAGAGGCGTATTCTTTTCCTTCTTTGGGAGTTTATTCCAAGGCCCCGGGGGCCGCTGCTGAAACGGCCTTGCTCCTCAGTTCCACAGATCTGATATCATCAGGAAAATTCCTGCTCAAAAAAACCCCTAGCCAAAAGTTCTGAATAGGAGAAAAAGAAGAAGAAGAGTTTGGATTTGATATCCTGCTTTATCACTACTGTAAGGAGTCTCAAAGTGGCTAACATTCTCCTTTCCCTTCCTTCCCCACAACAAACACTCTGTGAGGTGAGTGGGGCTGAGAGACTTCAGAGAAGTGCGACTAGCCCAAGGTCACCCAGCAGCTGCGTGTGGAGGAGCGGAGATGCGAACCCAGTTCCCCAGATTACAAATCTACCGCTCTTAACCACTGCACCACACTGGCCCTCAAACAGCCCCCCCCGGTGTACAACTCTAACTTCAAATGTCACTTGTGCACTTGTTGCTAAAGTTGCCTGCTCCTGAAAGACAAAATTCTGTCTGTTTGTGTATTATTTCAGAAATAAAAAAAAGTAACATAAATTAAAGAAAAGGAAATTAAATCTGGAGCACAAACCAGGGAGGAGTATGCAGCTTTCCCACCCACAACCCCTCTTTTTGGGGGCATTAATTAATTAAGTAATTAATTGGTAAAGGGGCAGGGAGCTGTCCAAAATTAGTTGGTCTATAGTTTCCCAACTGGCAAGAGCATCAAGTTTAGGAAGGATCTGAGAGCAGCTGGCCTGCATGGTCTTAAGGAATGGGTAAGGCATGCAATTAGACTGACTTTAATCTAAATTTGAGGGTCATGAATAAGGAAGATAATGAATTCATTTAGCGTGGGGCGGATATTTGTAACAATGAACCGGGGGAGACAACGTGAAGTTCAAACAGTGTCTGTGCTTCTTATCGTTCTTATAATACACCAAGATGCGAGACATACATAATGTGATTATTCTGCACATATGTCTTTGCATAGGGCAAAATTACCATGAAATGCAGTCTAGCTATCTGGTTAATGACTCCTGCCCTTACAAATTAAGTTTAGGAAGCATTATTCTAAAATAAGGACTTTATTAAGCAGACACAAGAATCTGATAATGGTATTTCATAGTAATTGTACCATAAATCTTCTCCAAGTCTTTATCTAAAAATAAGTATCTGCCTTGATGTCTCTCCTCGTCCCCCATCCCCCCACCCTCGTAATAATCTATGCCTGTTTTCTGCTTATCACGGGCAACAAGCTTGCCTATTTTCTGCAGTTCAACCACTGCAGAGGTTTCTGCTCCCCTCCCTGGAAAATGCTATTCAGTCCTTTATGGGGAAGAATACGTAGAACATGAACTTTTATCAGGACAGGGGCATAAATACCGGTACAGTATATGGGTAAAAGCAAATCAATAGATTCAGGGCAGGTTTGAGGGTCCCTTTTCACATTACTCTCCTTGCCTCTCCCCCTATGTGGGTGGGTCCCCAAAGTTTCAAGGGAGGGGCCTAGCTTTTTGGTACTGCAAATTCAGGGTTGCCATATTTCTAGAAGTAAAAAAGTTGTTGAGGTATTTTTGTAGTCATTGAGCTTTTTCAAGAAAATAGATCATAAGGGTTCTGGGATCATAATAGATCATAAGGGTTCTGGGAATTACAGCTCTGTGAGAGGTAAACTGCTTTAAATGTGTAGGATGTATATGCAGCCGTTCTCCATTTTTTCTTTTTAGCTGTAAGGAATGACAATTCTGCTGAGTAACAGCCTTCTTGCATCCGCCATTTTGTTTTCCCACAATGTCCCAGAGGTGTTGGTTGGGGGGGGGTAGGGTGCCATTTTTGTTCTTTTCCCGCAGTGCCATGGACTGACACAACATCTGGGGCATTGTGGGGGAAACAAAATGGTGGATGCCAGCTATGTTGTGGCTGCAGAAATTCAATGGGCCTGAAGGGTCCATGAGGGTGGACAGCCATCAGTGTGTTGGACTCTGTGAAGGCACAAGGGTCCTCTTGGAAGCTGCTCTAAGGTATTTCAAAAAGCAAAAACCAGGAGACATCCTGAAATTGTTGAGATGTTTTTTATGAAAACGCCAGGAAAACCACGATTTCTTGGTTTACTTGCCAAAGATCCACTGCCTTCCAGAAATTCCCTCTGTCACATTGAGTGAACCTCACGACCTCACAGGATTATTGTAAAGAAAAAATGTATGAGAGAAGGGATTGTATATTTATTCAACGGATAAATGGAATGAAATAAAATTTTAGCTGTAAGCTGCCTTGAGTCTCCGTCAGGGAAAAAGGTAGGTAATAATAATAATAATAATAATAATAATAATAATAATAATAATAATTTAGTACTGTAGTAGTAGCAGCAGTAATGGAAACTGTGAGAATGATCAGAAACATACTATCTTATTGAACTCATTGGGACTCAGTTCTAAGGAAGAAAGCTTAGGATTGCAGTGTAAGGCTGCACAGTCTTTACCCAGTTACCTGGGAGTCAGCTCTATTGAATACAGTGGGACTTACTTCTCAGTAGACTGTGTAAAACTCTGTTTACAATAAAGAAATAAACACTCCACACGTTTCCTTAAAAATGGCAGGCTGCTGAAGCATTGCAATAATAATGATAATGATAATGATAATGATAAACAACTTTTATTTGTATCCCACCCTCTCCGGCCGGGACTCAGGGCAGCTAACATCAAATATATAACATTGGTATAAAATCAAACAATAATTAAATTACCTCCTAAAAACAAGTCAGCATCAAATTAAAATTGAATTAGATGGCTTTCCGCAGGATTAGGGTTGGGAACAGTAAATTTTCTCAACAGCAATGAATTTAAAGTGGATGGGTGACATTTTCCTTCAAAATTCTAGGAAGGGCTTTGTATGCCAGCTTCACCATATTCTTCATTTGGTGCAAGGATTTTACCGGTATTTTCAGTATACCACTTTTAATTGTTCTCCGAGATGTGGAGGTGAGGAAAAAAAGAACACCGGGACATTCTGGGATCAAATCAGAAACTGGGATGGCTTCAGAAATTCCAGGACTGTCCCTGGAAAATAGAAATTTGGAGGGTAAGGGAGAGCAAGATCCCCTGATCCAGCAGGGGGCTTCTTGCGCTCTCGTCTTACAAAATGGACAAAGCTAGTTTACCCTTTGCACTTTAAGCCTGGGAGGAACCGCGGCTTTTATAGCTGCAGAGAAAGGCTCTTTGTGCATTTTAATCTGTGTATAGAATATTTCTGATATGGTGTCATCTATAATGGTGTGTAATTTCACTGCAGCCTTATTCTAAACACATCATTTAGGGTGACAAATACGTATTAAGTTAATGGCAAATATCCTATCTGTTTCTGACTAATGCACTTAATCAGATGAAAGGGAGACACAGAAAGGCTTAATAGGAAAATTGGCTCTCAGATATTGTGGGGACAAATGTTGCAGAACGCACAGTACTTATTTAACTTCAGTTTGTGGAGAAAGGAAGGCCTTTGTGTGTGGATTTCGTAGAGAGCTGGGGCCCTACAGAAAGGGATTTTGACTACGGTTTTCCTCGGTTTGATAAGCTAATCACTACACCAGCTCTCTAGGCACGTTTGTGAATAACAAAGAATGTTCCTTGTCAGACTAGTTAAAAACTCAATCCTTTATTGGGCATAGCAAACCACACATTATCAAACAAACATCGTATACAAATTGTGCAAAATACGAATTCAGCATAACAAGGTTTGTCCCAGTCAGATCTTTAACTCCAGAGAAAATCAATTTGCCTAAATAATACAATATAACACTACCACATCACCAATCAATTAAGAACCACTAAATCTCTTTATAATGGCCCAGTCTTTCTGCATGGACAGCACTCAAAAATTCAGCCACTATTAAAGTAATTTGATCATTCCTGTCCGAGAGCAGGTCCTGAACCGTTGGTGGCATAGAATTGAGCCTGTTAAGTTGTAAGGCCTCTAATAATTGTCTTCTGGCATAAATGCCAAAATCACAAGAAAAGAAAATATGCTCCAAAGTATCAGGTTCCCATTTACTACATTTGCAGAGACGCTCTGCTTCTGGGAGAGCTAAATATCTTCCTCTTACTATCATTGAGGGAAACATATTAAATCTGGCTAACATAAACCGAAGGGATGCGGGTGGCGCTGTGGGTTAAACCACAGAGCCTAGGACTTGCCGATCAGAAGGTTGGTGGTTTGAATCCCCGAGACGGGTGAGCTCCCGTTGCTCAGTCCCTGCTCCTGCCAACCTAGCACAGCGTTTCTGTGCACTGCTCTGGTTTGCCAAAAGCGGCTTAGTCATGCTGGCCACATGACCCGGAAGCTGTACGCTGGCTCCCTCAGCCAATAAAGCGAGATGAGTGCCGCAACCCCAGAGTCGGCCACGATTGGACCTAATGGTCAGGGGTCCCTTTACCTTTACCTTTAACATAAACAGCCAGACTAGTTCAATAATAGAACCCTCTATTGGATTCTAAACCATACTCAGGGGCGTAGGAAGGGGGGTGCAGGGGTGCGGGCTGCCCTGGGTGTCATGCTTGAGGGGGGTGACAAAATAGCACACTGCAGGGGTCAGCACTTACTGTGGGGCCTGGCCTGCTGCGTGCCCAAGCCACACGTCTCTCCTGGGAGTGACGCGGTGGTTCAGGGCCCCGCGCTGCCCGAAACAGCAGTGTGGGGCTTGCGTCTGCCAGGCGGACTCCGTGGGCAGCTCACCGCGGCGCCCCCATGCACGGATCGCTGTGGCACCCCCACGCAGTGCCCCCGTGCGCGGATCATTGTGGTGCCCCCTCCGCTAGCTACGCCCCTGCCCATACTTGGTACAGAACACCAAGAATCGGAAGGGACTCTGGATTGACCCACACCTAAAGGTAAAGGTAAAGGTAAAGGGACCCCTGACCATTAGGTCCAGTCGTGACCGACTCTGGGGTTGCAGCGCTCATCTTGCTTTATTGGCGGAAGGAGCCGGCGTTTGTCCGCAGACAGCTTCCGGGTCATGTGGCCAGCATGATTAAGCCATTTCTGGCGAACCAGAGCAGCACACGGAGACGCCGTTTACCTTCCCGCCGGAGCGGTACCTATTTATCTACTTGCACTTTGACGTGCTTTCGAACTGCTAGGTTGGCAACAGCAGGGGCTGAAGAAGAAGAAGAGAAGAAGAGTTTGGATTTGATATCCTGCCTTTCACTCCCTTTAAGGAGTCTCAAAGCGGCTAACATTCTCCTTTCCCTTCCTCCCCCACAACAAACACTCTGTGAGGTGAGTGGGGCTGAGAGACTTCAAAGAAGTGTGACTGGCCCAAGGTCACCCAGCAGCTGCATGTGGAGGAGCGGAGACGCGAACCCGGTTCCCCAGATAATGAGACTACCGCTCTTAACCACTACACCATACTGGCTCTCCGGGAGCCAGTACTGAGCAACGGGAGCTCACCCCGTTGCGGGGATTCGAACCGCCAACCTTCCGATCGGCAAGTCCTAGGCTCTGTGGTTTAACCCACAGCGCCACCCGCGTCCCCTGACCCACACCTACAACATCATAATTGAATATACCTCTGAGTAAACATGCATAGGAATGCACTGCACGTTTTGTCACTGTATTAGAAATACAGCGTCAGAAAAAGCAGAACAAATTATGATGTATATTCCTCGTGGATTTGTGAAAAAGCGCCTTGGAAGTGTGCCACCCATTAAGGTTGCTTGACACTTTTCTGAGCTTTCACTTGGAAAAACTCCCATCTACACACTCACCAGAAATCTCTGTGCTTAGCCTATCTGATGCCAGCGCATATCAAACGGGAACATTGTTTTCCTTTTTTAAAAAAAAGTTAGGTTCTTTGGGAAGGTGGGACATCTTGCATGGGTTGTACAAACAGTACAGTGCCAGGCAATTTATGAGGAGAAGCGAGAGGAGTTTATAAGGAGAAAAAGCTAAATTTATCCCTCACAGTTCAGTTTACCAGATTTTCCCCCTCTTAATAATTTGGAGGCAGCTCACCATTATTCACTTGCTGCTTCCTCTCACTACAGTGGTGTTAAAAGCTGCAGAGGGAATCACTGCCCAAACAGTTTTTGAAGTACTACCAAAACCTTTACCTGTAAAACCTGTTTAGCCAGAGATGATAGTGGGCAAAACAAACCAAAAAACTCACCACCATGATCGTATTTGCTTGTACATCCTATAAGTTAGGGGTAGCCAATGTTGTGCCTTCCTGATTTTGAACTACAACTCCCATCATGCAGCCAATGCAAGCTTTAATCCAAAAACATCTGGAGGGCAACACATTGTCATAAGCAATGGCAGTCTCATTTGACCTCTTTTAAGGCTGCAATCCTAAACACACTTATTAGGGGGTAAACCCAAAATAAGTGATGGCGATTTACTCCTAAGTAAATATGCTTAGGCTAACACTGCATAACTTGCCTGACATGCCTACACAGAAGGAAACCCTGCTGTTTTCAATGGGGCTTGCTTCCAAGGAAGAGTGTATAGGATTGAGCAAGGGGATGCAGTGACTCCCCTATGAAGAAAGGACGCAGAATTTGGGAGTTTTTTGTTTAGAGAAAAGGTGAGGAAGAGGTGATACGGTATGTACGGCATGCAGAAAGTGGAAAGAGAAAAGTTTTTCTTGCTCTCTCATAGTTTGTGGACTTCCAACGAAGCTGGAAGTTGGAAGGTTCAGCAGAGAAAAGTAAGTAAATCTTCTTTTTTGTAAAAACCAATTGTGTGTGTGTGTGTGTGTATGTATGTAAATAATTCTTCACACAGCGCACAGCTCAACTATGGAGCTTGTTCCCAAAGCAAGCAGTGAGGGCCACCAACTTGGATGGCTTTAAAAGAGAATTAGACGGAATCATGGAGGAGAGAGCTATTGAAGAGTACTAGCTGTTATGTACTGAAGTTCTCACCCTGGGCCAGCAGGGGGATACTGTAGATAGTTTTCACTCAGGTCCACATATGCAAATAGGGGATTGAAAGTGACTAAAAAGTGATTGGATAGTTACAGAAAGTGGTTACAGTTGCGTTGTAGTGGAGCTCTATATAAGCAGGGTGGCTGAACCCTTCAGTTTAGTTCTGTTCTGGCCTGTGAATAAACAAGAGCTGTTTGAAGAATCACTGTGTCGTCTGATATGTTCACCCACAGCTTAACACTAGTCATGGTGGCTAGGCTCTGCCTCCATAGTTAGAGGCAGCAATGCTTCTGAATAGTAGTTACAGGAAAGCATGGGAAGGGAGAATGCTCTTGCGCTCAAATCTTGCTTGCAGGTTACCCACAGCAATGGCATGGCATGGGGAGGGGCACAGGGTTGCTTGCCCTGGGTGCAAAATTGTTAGGGATGCACAATTTCAACACCTGGTGCTGCTCCAATACAGCTGCATGATTTCATTGCTGGGCTCTGCTGAAAACAGCTTCTCAGTTTGAATCAGGAAATGACCTCTCCAGACAATGGAAGAACTCTTATTATCTTAACTCTGTGGCTGTAATCTCCTGGGTGACGCAGATGCTGTTAGGCAGTTGAATGCGCATGTGTACTCCATCTGTTTCCTTCCCTCCCACCCACTCTGTGTGGCCCCAGGTACTGGCAACCCATGCTATGCCACTGACCCACAGGCATCTAGGTGACCACTGTGAGATCAGGATGTTGGTCCGGATGGGCCGCTGGCCTGATCCAGCAGGCTTTTCTTAAGTTCTCCTTATGCTAGGATTGCAGCCCAATACATTTATGAGCAATTGTCTTAAAACAAACTTGATTAAGCTGGGATAAATTATTTGCAAGTATTTTTTTTCAAGTAAACGCCTTCTGAGATAACTCTGCCCCATTATTTGATTGCAAATGTCAAGCAAGGTAATCAAGAAGGAGAAAATGCAAATTCCTTCCTGCAAAAGCCAAAAGGAATAGAAAGCACTTATTGGCAACAGAGCTGCTTTATAAGTACGGAAGCACTAGCATATACTGACAACGAAAAGATAGCTTGTGCTGCATTATCAGCCCTTCGTTCTGCTTTTGTTAGAGTCATTCTTATCATCACCTGCTCCACTGGTTCAGCACGGCAAAGGACGTTACTTCAAACATTTGCACTCACAAATAGCCCGCAATCTTTGCAGCTTGTAGATTTCATATTTTAAGTCTGACAATGAGGTTTTAGTTTGTGGGAAATGATTTTTCTCCCTCCTGCCAGACCAAGAATTAAAAGAACAATGTACTACAGAGGACAGGTGAAGGTTGGAAAAAGAGGCTTTTTAAAATAGTGTGGAGGAGTCCTTTGTTTTGCTCTCCCCACTCCAGCTGTACAAAATACAGCTTATAAAAGCATACAGAGAACCCTGCTGGATCAAATCAAAGGTCTTTCTAGTCCAGCACCCTATTTCTCATAAGTCACCAATTAGACATCTCTGGGGAAGCCCACAAACCAGGCTGCTGCTGTTCCTCCCAAGCAACTAATATTCAGTGGCATATGCCTTCGTGACCAATAACCATTCATATACTTATCCTTCATTAATTTGTCTAATCACCTTTTTTAAAAAACATCTAAACTAATGGTGGCATTCATCACACCAGTCCTGTGACACTGAGTTCCATGAATCAATCATTTTCAGATTACTTTCTTTTGTCTGTTCCAAATCTCTTGCCAATGACTTTCATTGGCTGTCCATGGATATTAGTAGCGAAGGAGATAAACTTCTTGGTGTCCCCTATCTTCACATCCACACCCATTTATAAACCAGAGGTTTAAAATGAGAAGCTCAAAGGGATAAAATTTACTGTAAAATTGTGGCTGTTTTCTGCCATCAACAAAAGGCTTACATCCATGAAACAAATGGAAATGTGGTTGGCTTCCTTTCCAACCTTTGCAAACCAGAACCAATTTCTGTCTGTATAGGCCTAAAATTACTTCTTTTTCTTGGCTGTGCCAGAGTGTCATAGCTGTCAACCGTCCCTTATTTGGCGGGAAAGTCCCTTATCCCAGCGCCATGTCCTGCTGCTGTCCCTTATTGATGATGTTCCTTAAATTTCCCGGGTTTCAAAGGAAGCAGCTCCTCTCCCTCCCTCCCTGCCAGCCAGGGAGGAGGGAGGCTCCAACTGTGTTGCTTGGCTGTGTTGCTCACCCAATAAGGAGTCTAAGAACGACTGGGGGGTGGAGCTTGCATGCCTTGTGCTGATCAAATCGGCCGCGTTGCCTGGGGTCTCAGCGCTTCCCAGCAGAGAGGTAACGGTGGTTTTCCTTGCTGCATCCCCTTTGCCGGGTTGCTGCAC